GGCGGCGTGAAAGGGGTCAGACGGTCGCTAAGGATTATGTGAGTATTATATTATATGAGTAATTCCTGGTGGCAGTGTAGTGACAACGAGAACTCACAAAGTAGTCGTTTAGAATTGCGGGTTATTTTAATTGTTATTGGTATTAGTGCAACGATCACAATAACAATGAGAGCGCAGTTATTGGTATTGCTGCTGCTGCTGTTGTTTGAGTATCTGTAGTGCCATCGGCAGAAATAATGTGAATAATGCCATATGTAATTATAATAGCAGTAGAAGCCGTTTTTGTTAATGACATAAAGCTGATACTCTTATTATATGCAATATCAGTATGACCATGGCCAACACATGCAACAGTCTTTTATCATCAGTGCCATCTTTTATGCAGAAAATTAATATTCTATGAATATTATCCAATTCAGATAACAATAACAAGCACACAAACAAAAGCTGATACGCATATCGTGGCCACCTGCGGCCTCGCAGCGTGCTAACAAGCATCATACCTTTGTTGGCCATGCTCAAGAAGTCACGCACGTACCTCTGTCTGCCATGCTCGCAAAGTCACGTACCTCTGTTGGCCATGCTGATGCAGCCACTTACCTCTGCTGGCCACGTTCATGAAGCCACGTACCTCTGTTGGCCATGCTGACGAAGCCACGTACCTCTGTTGGCCATGTTGTAAAGCCACGTACCTCTGTTGGCCATGCTGACGAAGCCACGTACCTCTGTTGGCCATGCTGACGAAGCCACGTACCTCTGTTGGCCATGCTGACGAAGCCACGTACCTCTGTTGGCCATGCTGACGAAGCCACGTATCTCTGTTGGCCATGCTGACGAAGCCACGTACCTCTGTTGGCCATGCTGACGAAGCCACGTATCTCTGTTGGCCATGCTGACGAAGCCACGTACCTCTGTTGGCCATGCTGACGAAGCCACGTATCTCTGTTGGCCATGCTGACGAAGCCACGTATCTCTGTTGGCCATGCTGACGAAGCCACGTATCTCTGTTGGCCATGTTGACGAAGCCATGTACCTCTGTTGGCCATGTTGACGAAGCCACGTACCTCTGTTGGCCATGCTGGGCCATGCTGACGAAGCCACGTATCTCTGTTGCCATGCTGACGAAGCCACGTATCTCTGTTGGCCATGCTGACGAAGCCACGTATCTCTGTTGGCCATGTTGACGAAGCCATGTACCTCTGTTGCCATGTTGACGAAGCACGTACCTCTGTTGGCCATGCTGACGAAGCCACGTACCTCTGTTGGCCATGCTGACGAAGCCACGTACCTCTGTTGGCCATGTTGACGAAGCCACGTACTTTTGTTGGCCATGTTGACGAAGCCACGTACCTCTGTTGGCCATGCTGACGAAGCCACGTACCTCTGTTGGCCATGATGACGAAGCCACGTACCTCTGTTGGCCATATTGACGAAGCCACGTACCTCTGTTGGCCATGCTGACGAAGCCTGGCCCCGAATGGTTGATTTCGAAATTTTCGTCCGGGAAGTTCTCGCCGTAGATGCTGATGGAGCCTTTGCCGTCGCCCGTGGCCACGTCGCCTCCTGCGGGCGAGGCAGACGGGGGGCGGGGGGCTGTTACTATATCAGTGGCATCATCTGCCTTGTGATTATCCTTATCGCTATTTTTAATAATTATCATTATCATCACCATCGTCATTATCTTTATCATTACCATCATTATTATTATCGTTAATATTATCATTATTATCAGAATCATCATAATTATCATTATTATCAGAATCATCATAATTATCATTATTATCAGGATCATCATAATTATCATTATCATTAATACCATCAGCATCGCCATCATCATCATCATCATCCTTATCATTAATATCAACATCACCACCATCGCCAAGACCATCACTATCATTGCTATAATTGCGGAAGAGGTAACATTATTATCTACATATAATTTATTGTTACTGATATGATCACTATGATTAGTATTGCTGCAAGTAATGAAATGTTTGTCTACGCACACACACACACAAACACAAAGACACACACACACATACGCATACACACACAAAGACACACACACATACAAACACATACATACACACGCACACACACACACGCACACATACACACACACACACACACACACACACAACGGGAATAAGATACATGACATGATACTAGAGAAGAAGCAGCCTGAAAACAACCCTAACAGTGCTGTATATCGCGTACAGCATACTTTGGTGAAACAGGCCGTGGTTTCAGCACCAGGTTCAGCGAACACCGAGCTGATATCCGTCACCATAGGACTTCCAACGCCATGGTGGTACATATAGATGAAGCTGGACATATACCCAATTGGAAAGAAGCGGAAATAGTTCATGGAGGACTGAACAGGCAGAAAAGAAAAATCATGGAAGCTGCCTACATCGCGACGGGGAATAATCAACGCAGCATCGGGCAGGTTCAGACTATCCAAGGTCGCGGCAGCAATTATACGAGCAACGAGCGGGAGGTCACGGTCAGGTAGTTCGTCAGCTCATGTCTGAGATATATATACTCTGTAATATATATATATATATATATATATATATATATATATATATATATATATATATATATATATATATATACATACACACACACACACACACACTTTATCTCAGTGTATATATATACTGAGATAGAGAACGAAAAGATAGATAGGTCAGTGGGTAGTAGGGATAGACAGACAGATAAATGTATATATAACAAATATATATATGTATATATATGTATATATATATATATATATATATATATATATATATATATATATATATATATATGTATGTATATATGTATGTATATATACATATATGTGTGTGTGTTAGGTGACATATGTTTTACACAAAAAATGTACACAACCTAATGCCCCGCCAGTTACAACTACGCACTAGCGCAACATTGCCCGGGGGCTCTCAGGATCCTCGTTGTCGCTATAGGACATCTGGAAACGGGCGTCGCCGGAGGGACTGTGGCGGCGCTGCGCCTGACGAAACACCAACGACACCTGCTCTTAGCATCCTCGGGGCGATGTGTCCCTTTTCTCGCCGCGAAATTGGGTTTGAACCAGCAGTTGGAGCGCAGGCATGTTGCATGGGGAGTGAATATGTGTGTGTCAGTCTTCTGTGTGCGTTTAAGTGTTTGCGTGAATGAAATGTGTGAACTGCCGCGGCCGGGATTGAAGCCGGGACCTTGTGATTGGGAGGCCAGTGCTCTAACCATCCGGCTACCGCGGCAGCACTATTAGGTGCGAATTAGCTCTTTGAATAGATCATTGCGTGCTTGCGTGTACGCGCGCACGCGTATGTATGTAAGTGTATGTGTGTGTTTGTGTTGTGCTTTGTGGCATCTATAAGATTGTGGCATCTATAGGATGAAAAGGCTACGGGAGTCAACCCCGAGGAAAAATCTGGAGCCCGAAGGCAGTTCGTTGTCGCTCGTTTGCGTTCTGGCACTCCTGCGATGCCGCTGGTGCCAAACTGTATAAATCTTTGCTGTTCCTTTGGATCCATCAGCTGCGTGGAGAGAGGGAGCCTGCTGCTTGGGCAACAGCTTGCTCTTAACATGCTTTTGGCCAGGCACTGACTCTACCTTTTTTCTATGAAGGTTAGTCAATAATGTCAAAGTCGACATCGTTTGATGGTGGCCGACGAAATATATATATATATATATATATATATATATATATATATATATATATATATATATACATGTACACACGCACACACACACGCACACACACACACACACACACACACACACACACACACACACATATATATATATATATATATATATATATATATATATATATATATGTATAAATATATGTATATGTGTGTGTGTATATATATTTATGTGTGTGTGTGTGTGTGTGTGTGTGTGTGTGTGTGTGTGTGTGTGTGTGTGTGTGTGTGTGTGTGTGTGTGTGTGTGTGTGTATATATGTATATATATGTATATATATATATATATATATATATATATATATATATATATATATATATATATATATATTCTTTCGGGGAAAGTAGGTTTATTTGTTGATACAGAATTCGGTAGTTACATAGTAATGCCATGGGCAGGATTAATATTAACGATGTATAACAATACTATTGCTACTACTAATGATGATAACGTTAATAGTACTCACCATATTTTCCTTTGTTTTCACCTTCGTTCTCGTCACGTTGCAAGAACATTTCCCACTCCGCAGGCCTACGCGCCGGCATTTATAAGGGTTGATTGTTGCCGAAGCTTTTTTTTCTGTTATTTTCTCATGCAGAGGGTTCACGCCTTATGATTGCATGGGGGAGGGGGAGGAGGAGAGAAGAGGGATGGAACGAGGGTGGTGTGTGGGGGGAGGGGCGAGGGGCGGATGTGGGGTGAATGGGAAAAGGAGGGGGAGGGATGAAAGAAGATAGGGAAAGGAGGGATGAGAGGGAAAGGGGGATGGAGGGAAGGAGGGATGGAAGAAAAGGGAAAATGGAGGGAAGAGGAGGAGGAGGAGGAGAAATAAAGGGTGGGGCGGGGGCGGACATACAATGGATTTCTTTTTACATAAATATCAATATCATTTCTTACATGACATACGTTTTCAGTTCTAGACAGCAAACGAACGCTACCACACCCCGATTTCTATACCTCCCGTGACAAACCGATCGATATCAGATGACTCACTGACTCACCCCAAAAGTGAGCCGTGCCCAGGTGGCTCACGCAAATTGAGCCAAAAAACGCGAGCTTTGTTGTCAATTTTTGCACTACTGATGCAGTCGTCATTTTATCATCAATATTATTATGAATATCAGTATCGTCATAACTATTTCTGCAGGCATTAAACTGCAATAGACACCATTATCTTGATTATTGATATGATTATGATCATTATTATTATTGTCATGTGTTATTATAGTTGTAATTTCTTTACAAATATTATCACATCATTATTTTATTCTTATAGTGACTATC